GGATTTTGTCATGCTTGATTGCTGATATTTAGCCTATTGGCAATAGTGAACTTTAATCTTTCTAACTATGTTAATTGAGTAATTAGGAATGATTCTCACATTGTAGGTGTCGCAAATGTTGTTTGTATTCAACTGAAATCCAATATGAAAAATCTTCGCTTTCAACCACTCAATGACCATTTACAGCTTTGCCTTTTATTTTTGAACTTTGGATGGTTGCTCTATGAGAGCTCTTTTCTGTTGTTTTTCTTCCATAACATTGAGATAATGATTTAATGATTCAAAAAATAGATCATCATTTGGTCTCTCGGCTTCTTTTTGATTCCTCTTTCTATTAGTAGATCCTTAAACAGTCTATGATAAGTATCTTGTCTGTTTCTTGATGGATGAGTAAAAGAAGTCTGCTTCTAACAGTCCCAATAGGTATATCTAGATTTGTTTTCTTCCTCAACTCAACCATGAATGAGACACTCAAATAAGAACGTTTCTTTTCAACATCAAATCGACATCAATAAGCATGTACCATTCCAGTGAATTAATACACTTCATGTGCGATACCAGAAGCATGCTTCCCAACTTTTACAAAATCTGACAGGTGTAACTGAACAAAAATTTGGATCCCTTAATGTAAAATACTCTGTATCCACATGTTGAAAAACAATTTCCTTGTTAGATTCAATATTAAAGGTTTTACCATCTGGAAATTCATTTAAAACTCACTGATTGCAATCATTAAGATTTTCCAATCTGAAGTCATTGAATATTTGATTGTCCAAATTGATAATTTCAGTACCACACTTTTCACAGAACACAACTCTCCAAGATTCTTTGCAATTCCATATCTTACTAGAACTGATATCATTTTTTTCAACAAATTTAAAACAAGAGGGAACAATAGACTTATTTTCTCTCTTTTTAATTGCACACTTCATAAGCTCCAACAATTTCAAGTATAATCTGGATTTCAGCAGCATGTAAAATCAATCATAAAAAAAAATGAGCAAACAATCAGAAGGACAAATTGATCATCACGAAAATCACAGAGATTCAGTTCTAATACTTCTCGATCATGATCCAAATAATTATCTGAATCAAATGCTAAACGAAACCATGACCGCCAACAAACACTACACTCTCGGAAAGTTTAACTATTTATTTGAGATGAGTTTTTCAATGCGATATCAACCAATTCCTATAGAATTTGCATTGGATAGAGAAGTGGTGTGCACTTATTTACATTTAAATTTATTTGGATTTTTGCAACAGAGAACAAAGGTTAGAGAATGGAATGCCAAGTCAATCATGTTGGAATTGGTCAAGTTTCATGGATTGCAATTGATGAATGTTGGAATGGAATTGAGAGATGATAGGGATATTGTGATGGAGGCTGTCAAGAATTGTCCATTTGCTATAAAACATGCTTCGGAAAGGTTGCAGAATGATAGAGAAATTGTTTGCATTGCCATGAAACAAGATCCACTTATTTATGAATATATTGGACATGACGCAAAGCACGATCCACAGTTTATAGAGATGGTACTGAGTAAGGATGGATTGTCATTGAATTTGGTACCTGGAAGTTTGAGTGTTAATGATCCAAATTTTGTGAATTATGTGAAAATTGCTATTCGACAGAATCCATGTGCTATATTGCTTGCCCCAGACCATATTCAACAAGATGGAGAAATATTTATGGATTGTTTGAGAAGAAATCCCTTATTGGTTGTTTTGATTTCAGATTCGAATATGAGCATCGACAAGAAAACTGCCATTTATTTAGTGAGTCAAGATGAGAGAACTTATCAATTCCTGCCCGAGACATTGAAACAAGATCAAGATGTAGTTATAGCCATGTTAAAAAAGAATATCAATGCAGTAGATCTGCTCGGACAAGACAACATGTCCAATGAGGAACTAATGATTCCAGTTTTGAAAATATTTCCACAATGTTTCAATCTTCTGCCATTCAACTTGAAAGTAAGAGATACAATCATTGAAGCAACACATAGTGGAGATGATAGTGAATTTTCAGAATATGACATTGAACACGAAGAATTTGCTGCACTATATTTGGAAAAGAGCAAAGTTAAATCATGGCTCTCCACTAGAAAAAATGTAGCCACATCAACTCAAGTTAATACCACAGAAATCTCCATAACAACGCCTTATAAGGAAAATGCAAGACTTATCATGCATTTTGGAAATTCCTATTTTCGAAATAGAGTAGTAAACCTCAATAATACTAAGTATACATCAAATCCAGAATCAAAATTTGGAAGATTTCCCATTAAAGTTGATACCATTGAATAAATGGATCATTAAGATCGATTACGATACTTGATTACCTACTAGAAAATTAGGAGGTTAATTGTATTTCAAGTCCTGATGTATATATTAAGGAATGTTGTTAATTTATTGGAAAAATCTAAAATGTTTTCTACCAGTAATGCCCAACAAGTGAGCTGCTTCGGCAGTTGTCACGACAGGGGAAGGATTGACCATTGTTATCCTAGAGTTACGTCTTACAGGAGCTTCAGAAGCTTCATGTGGATCAATGTCCATTGAGGGTGAAATGGCATGATTTTGGTCCTCATCATCAATGTCCAAATCTCCGTGCAAAAGTCTACGTCTGGCAACAAAGTCATCGCCAGATGTATCTTCTGTTCTCTCTGATTTACTCTCATCTACCTTGCTTCCATCCATTTTTCTCATTCCTCTATAACACAACCAAAAGACAGCAAGGAGTAAGAGGGCAGAACCTCCAATCACACTGAAAACCATTGTAATACCTCCCAAAACTACTAACAAGAGCAAAAATCCAGTCCAAGTACCAGGTGACTCAAAAACAAACACCTGTGAAGTTTCATTACAAAATGCCTTTCTTCTCAAAATGTCTGAACAAGTCTTGTTAGGATTAAGTTGCATACTTAAAACAAGATCAGCAGTGGAGATTGGAAAATCCTTAATTACAAAATTGTTATTCCATTGGAATTGATTGAAATAGAAACAAATTTGTTCCAGTGAGAAAAGTTTGTAATATTCCACAGTTGGATTTCCCTCCTTCTCGCTTGAATTTGAGACAAAGAAATCAAACGAACCAATGAAAATATAATCCAAAATTGTTTCACCAAACCCATTATCTTGAACTTGGGAAAGAGCAGTTGATTTGTACTTTGATGTGGCTTTCATACTTGACAAGGAAGTAATATTGTGAAATCTCAATTTGCCAAATCTCCATTCCTTGTGATAAACACTGTGATGGTCACCTAGATGGCCACTAGGATAAAGCATATAATCAATAACAATTGTAGATCCATCAATGACATTAAGAGAAGAAAAGCTTGATGTTTGAATCAGTGAACTAGATTGATCAATACCTTCCGACCTAACGGGACAATGTCCAAAATTCCATGAATTTCCATCATGCCTCTTTGAAGGATTTCTCAAATATAAATGTTGAAAGAAGTGACCATATGTAAGATTAGATCCTGTAAAATCACCAATCCATTCCCCATCCTTTTGAAATATTGATTGATTATCATCACCTAATAATTCTTTTCCTATAGAACTCTCTATAGAATTTTTAGAATAATAATATCCGAGTGTTTTCTCTATGAATGATAATTTTGAATTAATTAATATTGGTACATCTGATGAAAAGGCATTATACAATAATATTGATGATAATATTCCTAGTAATAATGTAACAGAAAATAGAGTAGCAAATATACGGTAGAAGGTTGTTTTTGAACATTTTGTTGATGAAGTATTATGATGATCATCCACAATATTATTGTTATTATTTGATGTTATTGTTGTATCCATCATCGTGTTATATATAATTAAATATTGATATTGTACAGGGCGTATATTGTTGTGTATGATGAAAAATCACCAAATTAAAGTACAATAGTGATACAGAAAATTCAGAAAATAATATGTGTGTGTAAGCTACTCCGTTGCAACAATACAGTTTGAAAACTCTCAATTCTCTACTAGGATGACTGTTTCTAGGATATAAATCGGAGTAGGAACGATAATGGTGCTCTCAAATTTTTTGCTTTCTGCGCAAGTTCAAGTTTATTAATAAAAAATCTTTTCATCACGATTTTATTATCATGTCAGAATTATTGCATAGAAGTATGGATGTGTTATTCGTGATGGATGGTTATTATGTGGATTACAATTGCTTGAAAAACAATAATAAATATAAATAATTAAAAGGTGCAAATGATGAACAATTATAACGGAAAAGAAAAAGGCGCCAAGTTAAAGTTTCAAAAAAAAATGCCTAGAAGAAAGTCTGCTGGAACTGCTGTCGGATCTGGAAGTGCATCATCGGGGGTAACGTCTTTTTTTTCTACTCCAGAATATCTCATAATTCCACCATCTGTGGATCATCACACATTATTGGAACAATCTAGGAGAGGTGATTTAAATTCAGTAAAAAGTCTTCTTCAAAATAATCCTAGTTTGAGTGTTAATTATGGAGATGGAAGATTTGTATATGTATGTTAAAATTATTTTGGATTAAAAATTAATTGGAAAAATAGTACGGAATGACACCTTTAATGTGGGCTTGTGATAGTGGACATGTTCATATAGTTAATTATTTACTTTCAGTTCCAGGAATTGAAATTAATCGTGTTGATGAAATTGTAAGTTTTTCCTCATGAGTTCAACAATTGATGAAATTGTAAATTTAGACTGGACGAACTGCTTTGCATTATGCTGCCATTAGAAATTATAAGGAAATTTGTGAAGTATTATTGAGACATGGAGCAGACAAGAATATTAAAACTTCTCTAGGAAGTGATGCTGAAGAAATGGCAATTGCAAGAGGTCAAATTGAAGCTGCCAGTGCATTCAAATAATGTAGATGAACCCCTAAAACTAGTGAATATATTCTCACATCTAATTTATAAATAATTACAAAATAAACAGAAATACCAATTCTAATAAGGATTGTTTATATTTTACAGGGTTATCAGAAGCAAATATATTTGAGGAAATTGAATGTTAATGCAATGATCAGAATAGGAAATGAAAATGCTGCTTATATTTTCTGTTCTCGGAATGGATCTTTTTCAGTTGGATAATCTGTTATAGGATTTGTAGTAATATTTGTAAAGGTATTTGCAAAAACACGTTTACAAAAAGGACAAGTTAAACCTTCCAAAACATTTCCTTGGAATTCTTTCAAATAAGTTGATTTGTGACAATTAGGACATTCACAATTAACAAGATTACCAGCAGCAGAATGTTCCAAAGAATCAACAGTCAATACTACCAAATCTTTAACAAAATCTCCTGCAGTCAAATCAGACATTTTTTATAGTTAACTCTCTCTATTCAATAGACTTTCCAATTTCTACAATTATCTAAATTTGTACACACCACAATTTACTTTTCCTCTTCTTCTGGTAGCACAAAATCAACCGAGTCTTTAAAATTCAAAGCTTGTGACATTAATTTTGGTGATAATACATCCACAGGTTCCGAATGATTATGATGAGTATTATTATTCTGTTCAATAGTACTATTATTAATCATTAGTGATGAATTATTATTATTATTTTGATCGGAATGATGAGGTGAGAGTGGAGAGAGAGGTGATGTATCTTGCAAACCCTCCACTGCTTCAACTGCTGGATGTGGAGTGATAATTGGATTGAGTGGTGTTCGACGTGATAAAGACATTTTTTCTATCAATTTTGAGAACCAAATATTGATTGGAACTAAATTGTGCGAATTACAATGAAATTGATGAGATCTATTTAAATCAATTTGAAAGGTGGTAGTTGTGCTGAGAGAGAGATAATGTATGTGAATGAAAATGTTGTTAATTTTTATTTAGAGTTGGAGATTAGTTTCTAATAATATGACTATTTGACTGTTCGTTTGGAAGAAGAATTAAGGTCTGGAGAGGAATATCCTTTTTCATTCCTACATATCTGTTCCACATTTTGCTCATTGAATTGACAAATTCTCTTTCGTTTCTTTGTTTTTAAATCATTTCCATGCATCATTTTCTTAATTTCCATTGACAATGATGAAGATTTTTCACTATTTTCCATCGTGCCACCATTTGGTAAAGAATATTGTGTGGAAATGTTAGGAATGAATGGATTGGAGCTTTGCAAAGTGGAAGTGGTGATGGGAGTGTAATGTTTGTTTAACAAATCTTCAATGCTTGAAGAAGAAACATTTGAAGAAAGTGGAAGAAAGCCCAGAGGTAAAGTTAGTGGAGAATCAGAGAAGGGTGATGATTGGTTGGTGATTGATTGGAAATCTACTTGTTGCTCATCTCTATTCTGTGTTGAAACATGATCACCACAATTATTAATATGAACGAAACTCTTCTCTTGTTGATCAAGTGTTGGTGATGACGATGTGAACTTTAAGGCCAATTGTTGTTGTGGTGAAGATCGGGTGATAGAACTCTTCATTGTTGAAGTAGAATACATGGAAAATATTGAAGTCTTATTTTTCTTACGAAGGCTTGGATTGTTTCGTATTTGATTAAGATTAGACGAATCATTGGCGTGTGAAGGCTTGAGGGATGACATATTTTTTTTTGAGGAAAAGTTGTAGAGCAACTGTGTGGGATATTTAAGCCTTTGAAGTTAATCACATTGTTGCAGCAATCTGTCAGCGTTCAAAGTATCCTTGATTCCGTAGACAAGCACCATTGTAAAGATAAAAGCAACTAATTTTTCCCGCCAAAAAGAAAAAGTTCACTTTCCCAATAAGCAAGATTTCATTGCTTCACTTGAAGATGCAATTTTTTGGTTGTATCAATAACAATTGCTGTTATGCGCTTTACAATAAAATTGTATTTTGATAGAATTGGAACTCTTATGAACAATTCCATTTAAAAAAATGATTAGACACCTTCTGCATGGATGTAGGAATCGCCTTCTCACACCTAAAAGCAATATCTTCTTTTCTCTTCCGAAAGTAAATTCTTGTAGAAGAAACCTTTCTTCCATAATTGACAATCCAGAATATTTGAAAATGGCTACCACTGAAAATTCACTTGAATTTTTGCAACATTCAGATAAAATCGACATTGATCGTGAATTATTAAAAGCTGCTCTTATGGGTCATGGAGAGAATTTGAAATTCTGCCCTTTCGAATATAGAAATGATATTGAATTGGTAATGTTGGCTGTGCAAAATAATCGATTTGAGATTGCTTTAGAATTTGCCTCTGAAGAAATGAAGGATAATGAACAAGTAGTTGAGGAATCAATGAAAGGTGTTCCAAGTAGTTTCAGATTTGCATCTGAAAGGATTCGAAATCAGAAAGAATTTGCATTGAAGGCAATTTCATATTTGCCATCAAATATATTCTATCTTTCGGAAAGATTACAAAATGATTGGGATATTATTGAGAAAACTTTAGAATTGGATGGTGAATTAATTCTTTCTCTTCAATTTAGAAGAGAAGAAATGATGCAAAATAAGGAAATACTTTTAAAAATATTGAAATCGTGTTCCTTGTATTGCAGGAGATGTATTTTCAGATATTTGAAGAGTACTGATTCTGCCTTATTGAAAGATCAAGTAGTTTTGCAAAATTTCGTACTTCCAAAGATATTAACTGATGGGTGGAATGTTAAAAATATTGACACTGGAAAAGAGGATGTTAAAATGGTTGTTGAAACTGGTAATTTGAAAATTGATGGTCCACTAATTCTCAAACAATTAGAGTTATTCAAATATGCACCCTTAGAAATACGATCTGATATTGAACTGGTTAAAAAATTTGTTTCAAAAAGAGGTGAATTGTTAGAGTTTGTTGATGAACCGCTTAAGGATGATTACAATGTGGTTTTACGTGCCGTTTGTTCTACTTATAATGCTCTCCGGTTTGCTAGTGAGAGGTTGAAAAACAACCAAGCAATTTGTCTTGCAGCAATGAAAGCCAATCCAAAACAGTTCATCCATGTGTCAGATAGCATAAAATCAAACAGAGAGTTCATTCTCGATTTATTAGATGACTGTGGAAATATTTTCCTTTTTAGGGGAGATTATTTTGGATCCATATTTGAGTATATGGACGACAAACTCAAATCAGATTTGAGTTTTGTAAAAGAAGTTTTTGGAAAGAATATTAACTCTATCGTGAAATATATTTCAAACATTGATGGAGAATTATTTGAAAGGATTCTTCAAAGCTGTTCATTACATTACATTCCAAAATCAGTTAATATTCAAGCGTACCGAGGAAAAATTGTTGAATATTTGAGTAAATACCCCTATAGGTATTCTGATGTTGTGAGTCATTTTCCAGATGATAGAGAATTAGCTCTCAAATTTATTGAACTCTCACCTAATTGTTTCAGAAAGTTAAGCTATCGACTTCAAAATGATCCTGAAATTGCAGGCATAGTATTCTCAGGAACAGGTTTTATACATTTCAAAGAAGATATGGACAGGGGATTAATTATTAAAAAGCTGAAGGAGAATGCCTACAGTTTGTGGTCATTGCCAGAAAAATATCACCAAGATAGAGAAATTGTTTTAAATGCAGTGAAAAAGGGAGGCAGCATTGCTATAACAAAATACTTTAGAGAAGATAGAGAAATTGTGATGGAGGCCTTAAACAACACCAACTTTGATTTGAGTAGTATTTCTTCAAATCTGAGAAAAGATAAGGAGATTGTAATGAAAGCAATTGAAAATAATTCTTATAATTTTTGCTATGCTGACAAGGTATTCAGGTCAGATAAGGAATTTATTATGAAACTATTTGATAATCCAAAGTTTGCACTACATAGTCCATGTATTTCTTCCTTGGACATCAAGTTGAGGGATGACAATGAAATTGCCTCAATGTTTCTGAAACGATGTCCATCACACTTTGTCTACTTGAGTGAGAGATTGAGAAATGACCCTTCCATTGCAATTCCTCTCATTCTTGATAATCCCTACTTGTTGCCTCATTCTCCATTGTTTAGCCAAGACAAAAAATTGAAATTGCAAATTGTTGAAAATGGTTATTTCTTTCATTTATTTACAGAATTCCATGAAGATCTAGATATTCTTCGAGTATTCTTCTCCAAATATCCAAAAGAAGCAGCTGAATTCTGCCAACATTACAATTCAGAAGAGTGGACCAAACACAAAGACCTTGTTGCACTAGTTTTAGCTCATTATCCCGATGCTTATTATAAAGCAAGCAAAGAGATTCAAAATGATCCAGAAATTATTCGGCTTTATAATAAGAGCAGGAAGTGCCTTGTACTGCTGCAATGATTAAGCCACACCGAATAAATAATATTTTTTATTAATATTTTATTTAAAAAAATGGCGCCACTCGTTTTTATCGATGATGTTCTCCACCTCATATTTACGTCCTTTCTTGATGACGAGTCTATGGTAAAATATGGTTTTTCAGTCTGTAAACAATGGAATAATATGGTTAGATCAATTCCGATTGACTTGATATTGGAAAAGTATAAATTGGCTAGGTTGGTCAAATCCTCTCCGAATTTAAACCTTCGATCATTGGTTTTAAATCAGGCTATCGGTGAAGATATGCGGGAGAGAATTCAACAATGTAGTACCATGTCCACTCTACAAGTACTGGTATTGGATGGTGTCATGGATTTTTCATCCATGATGAAATTAATTACGAGTCCGGTAATGTCAAATCTTGTGGATGTTAGATTTAATGGTAGTTATAATAAGAAGGATAAGCTAATTGCTCCTTGCCCTCAAATGAAGGCTTTGAAGAGTTTGGGTTTAGATGGAACTGTTGATGAATTGTTAGTGTCCATTTCAAAAAACGAATACTTGGAAAATTTAACAGAGTTGGATTTGGATATGGCAAGTTATACAGATAAGGGAATTGTAGCTTTGGTTTCTAATAATTCTCATGTTAAAAATTTAACAAGTTTGAGTTGTGAATCAAGTCAATTAACTGGTACAGCTATACGTGCTATTGCCAATTCTCCTAATATGAAAAATTTGACCAAACTAAATATTGGCTACAATTACAAGGGAGTGGAAGGAATACGAGATATCATTCAAAGTGAATACATGAAGAATCTCCAAATTCTCCATCTCACTGAGGGTTTCGAGCTTCTTGTCTCTGAAAATTCACAAATCAAGAATTTGAAAAAGCTCAAAATGATGGGACATCGTTTGAACGAGGATATCATCAAAATTGCCAACTGCCCTCATATGAATCAAATTGAAAAATTGGGAAGATATTTTGGTACTTCTACTAGTGCTTTGGAAGCCTCAGGTGATACTGCTCTAGCTGAGAGTAAATACATTACCAAATTGAAAAAGTACTATTTGGAATTTGAAGAAACAGATGAACCAACCATGTTCATTACCAGCCCTAATTCTGAAAATGTGCAGAGTATCTACGGAGCTGTCAACAGCTTCAAAATGGCTAAAGCCCTTGCCGAATCTCTTTATTTGAAAAATCTATCCCGTTTGCACATTTATGGACAAGATGAAGAGAATATTTTTGAAATATTATCAGAAAGCAAGAATTTGAAAGAAAATTTACAATCTCTTTCCTTTAGATATACAGGGAATGAAATGATGTCTTCATCTTGCAAGGTTATATCTCATATTGGAAAATTTTCAAAATTGAAAAAGTTAGATCTTGCATTTATCAACATTGGATTGGACGGAATGAATTTAATCATTTCAAGTGCATTTATCAAGAATTTGAGCAAGCTCTCCCTGACTGAATGTTGTATTGACAGCGATTGCCTAAAGGCTCTTTCTGAGTGTCAAGATTTCCAACTCACTAGTTTATCCTTGGGAAATAACGAGAAGCTTAGAGGGCAAATTCATTTACTCTGTGAAATGACAAGTTTAACATGTTTGCAAGAATTAAATTTGAAGAGTTGCGACCTGTCTGATGAGGACATTTTGAGCATTTCACAATGTAAATACTTGACCAATCTTAGACATCTCAACGTAAGATTTAATAATGTATCCAATGAAGCTTTAAAATTCATATTCCTTTCAGATAACATGCAAAAATTGTCCATGTTAGATATGTTCCGTAGCAACATAACCATGACACAGGAATTATCAGATTTAATACTTGAAAATGTTTCTAGATTCACCAATTTATCATTTTTAAGTATTCCAAGACAGGGCAAATTATCAAACAAGCTTGAAGAACAATTGGATAAATTTGGAATTTCCTAATTTTCCAAACAAATTCTATTAGAAGTTGTTCATTTATATTTCTTAGTTGTTGGCAGCACTTGGTGGATACGTATACCAACCCAACAATTAACCAATCATTCATTGTAAAATCAATTTCCGTCGTTCGCTTAAATTGACAATTCCCAACCAGTATCAATCTATCAACACCACTGCCAACTCTCAATTCCCAACCCAAATAATCTGAAAAAAACTAACCACACACAACAGTTAGATGAAAAAGCACTCATTATTGAATTTCCTGAAGGAATCACAACAAGCTCTCAAGAACAGAAGAGAACAAGACAGCAAGCCTAGTCACAGGATTCAACCATCCATTGAAGAGTTAGAAAAGTATGCTCACACACCACTTGGTGCATCCTATTTGAAAGCCAGATTATTTTTTGATGAGGGAAAGAAGGAATTCTTCTCTGGACATCAAAAGAAGGGCCTTGAATTGATCAGGAAGGGTTTTTGGGAAGATGAAAAGGCATGTCCATTTTCTGAAGATGAAGGAGATGCAGTATTGAAATATTGTTGGGATCAAGTGACTCAGAAATCAAGTCCTGATGTCGAGCTTCAAAACACATGTGGCTTGGTAATTGCATTAATGCATCCTGCCATGGAACCAAAAATCATGACATCTCCATACTTGCTCCAAGAAGGTTCCTTTAGAGCTGTTACATTGGTAGCCTCATGGTTGGCATCTGCAGGGGAATGGGAAAATGCACTCCCATTATTCATGCAAGGTTATCAAATTGACCCAACAGATGTGGAGAATTATTATGCTATTGGTGTGATGTTCAAGTTTCTAAATGATTGGACAAGTGCTCGTGCATGGTTGGAACGTTACATTCAACATTCGGACATTCAGGGTTTCAAGAGACCAGCAGCTCACTATGAATTAGCTGCGATTGCACTCGCAGAAAATGATATCACTGAAGCTGCAGAACAAGCCAAACTTGCTAGAATAACTCTCAAAGAGAGAATACCCTACTTGCCTCCTCTATCTACCTCATCCCAAATGATGGTAGAGAGCATGCTTGGATTAATGGGTGAAACAAACTCCTTCCCAAAGAATGCAAGAAAGGCCGCTGAAAAAATTGGCAAACAGCATGCATCCAACAATTCAACAAATGCATCATCCTCATCTTCATCAACAACCTCAACAAGGGTTGTTACTGTTCCACCTCCATCAAAGGAAGCATCAGACTTGAAAGAGAAGGGTAATCAATTGTTTGAAAAGAAAAAGTATAAGGAAGCAATTGAATGTTATTTGAAAGCACTTTCTCTTGGAAAGAGCAGTATTGATGCAATCTTGCACTCGAACATTTCTGTTTCATATGCGAAAATGGACAATTATGTTGAATCTCTAACGCATGCCGAGAGTTCAATCATTGTAGATCCATATCTTTCTAAAGGTTATGCAAGAAAAGCGTTTGCCTTGATGAAATTGAACAGAACTCAAGAGGCCCGTAAATTCACCATTATTAGTAATGCATTGGGAATGAAAATTGTAAAGGGTCATGAGCTACACTCACTCTTACCTGATTCCCAAATTGTACTTGTTAAGAATTCATACAATTTGAAAAAGTCCATGTTGGAGCAAAATACCACTCAGAGACTATTCATTGTAATTACAGATGAAGACTCCTACAACTTTTCCACTGATATTACTAGACCATGTTCTCTTATTGGAATTGGAAGAGAGAAACCCAAGTTTACAGGCATGTTTGATACTCTATTTTGGGTTTCCTCTCCTGATTGTCACTTTGATAATCTCAGTATTTCACACTCGAGAACTCAACTTGTCTATGTTCGTGAAAAGGGTTCATTGACAGCTAGGGATTGTCATTTCTTCTCTTCCAGTAATCCAATGCCACTCGTTGCATGTGGAGAAGGTGGAAAGTTAACACTTTTGGATTGTGAAATTTATGGAGCTATGGAATCTGGAGGAGTGATGGCTCATGATAATGGATCTATTGTTAAAATGACAAATTGTAAGATTCATGATTGCAGTAGGGCAGCTTTAGAAGTGGTGACACATGCAAAAGCTGAAGTTGACAATTGCGAGTTTTATGAATGTGGACAAGGCATAATTGGATACAATAGAGGAAAGAGCATTCGTGTGAATAATACAAGAGTTTACCAACATGCAAAGGAAGGAGTTTTGATAGCTATGGGTTGTTCAGCAACATTCTCCAAAGTTTCCATCTTTAAGAATAATCATTTTGGATTGAGCGTTGATAATACTGGAACTGCAAAGTTGACCGAATGCGATATTACTGACAACTTGTTCTATGGCGTGAGTGTGAAGGGAGATTGTCCATTCGAAATGAATAATTCTACCATTAGTGGAAATCAATGTGGAGGTGTTAGAATTGGAATTAATTACACCTCACCAATCATTATATCTGGATGTAAAATTGTCAATAACACAGGTCCAGGAATCCACAATGAATCTGACAAGTTGAAAATTCCACAAGAAAAGAAGAATTTCATCAATCAAATGAAACAAATGGGATTGTCAGATAGAGATACGTCCAACAAGGTTTTCAAACAAGTTGCCTCAGCCATAGGAGGAAGCTTAAAATTGACCATTACTGATTGCATTCAAGAAGGAAATGATTCACGTGCTGTAGAATCTTCTCAAGCTGATAAGTGCTCATTTTGTCATGTTTCTGCTGAAAAGTGTTTCAAATGTGCCAAATGTAAACAAGTAATGTATTGTGGCACAGCTTGTCAAAAGAAGGATTGGACCAAACACAAGATATTTTGTGATAGCATGGCTGAAAGCAATACAGTTACGATAGACATTTCAAGCAGTTCTGTTGAGGGAAAATTGGTTAGAAATTCAGACCTTTCCTCCAAATATAAGAAACGTCAAGAAGAAAAGAAGGGAAAATACATGGATGGTGATGATTTTGTTGTGAAAATTCAAACAATCGAATTGGATAGCTCACCAGATCAAACATTGACTCTCTATGATGAAAGTAGGGAGTTGGTACTCAATTTTAGTAATAGAGATATATTCTATTTGATCATGAAATATGGCACATTGGGAGAAAATCAAATGACATCAAAAAAGATTTTCGTCAAGGCAAGATTTAATAAGGAAAATAATCAATTGAATGTCTATACTCATAAGGTTTTGCCCATTAGATTGTGGTAGTTTTGAATAATTCAATAATTAGCTATATATTCAAGAAATAGATCTATCAAGATATTTATTAATAGCAATAGATAAATAAAAACCTAACCTTTAGAAAACATTTAACTTTTGACACTTGGCATTAATAACATGACAGCTGGCATTTGACACATGCTTACTGAACTCAATAATTCCTGTATCATTTATGATAAAAAAGAACTCTAAAATTGTTGAATAATTACTATTTCATTTATTCAAGTGTTAAAATGATTGGAAATTGAGAAATTTAGAGTTGAGCCAAACCAGACCAAACATTATCCTCAATACCACATTCATCAGAACCTCTCAAGATCCAGAAGAAACCTTCTTGACCCCAGTTGGTATTCCATGAGTTGGCAACAATCCAGTATGGAGTATCCTTACCATCAGAGGTAACACCCCAACCAACAATTTTGATGGCATGTCCACCTGCCAAAGATCCAGAAACATGTCTATAGACACCTGACTTATACGAAAAGAAATCTTGGTAAACAGAGAAAGCAGCTTGAACTGGGCCATTTGCTTGGATATCCTTTTGAATATCATCAATAGAACTCAATTGAGCAACAGAGGAAGACTTGGCCTTGTAGAGCTTGATAGCAGAACCATCAGTACAAGAAGTTGGGCAAGAACCAACATCACCATTACCAGAAGTGTATGGATCACACTTATCAGATGGAATACCAGTACCAGCAAGGAAAGCCCAAGCATTGTTCAAATAACCACCATCACAACCATAATCAGTAGAGTCACATTGCAACATGTATTCTGGTGACAAGACAACATCAACTGAACCATTTGAAGCAATACAGAATCTATCAGACAAGACTTCAGAAGCAGAGAAAGCCCAACATGATCCACATTGCTTTAACATTAACAAGAAAATGTCAAATTAATAATTTGATTATTGACATTTTGCAAAATAAATGTTAAAACTGCTAATTAAATTAATAAAAAACCTACTTGTTGATCTCTAATTGGATGAACACACTTGCCCCACTTGGTTCTAGCATCGAATGAGGAAGCAGCCTTCAAATTAGCTGGCATTGTCTTCTTTGGCAAATTGTTGATTGGATGAACCAAGACGGTACCCAACAATTTACGAGCGTCGCGCAAGGTCATTCCAGCGAATTGCGGATAGGCGGCGGCGGTCCAACCAATGCTAGAGTCAGCATTGATCTTTTGGATCAAGGTGTGATCGTGGACTGGTCTGTCGAGGGTGGAGAGTTGAGCAAAGGTGCTGACGGCAGCCAATGCTAACAATAAACAAATGATGGCGACTTTCATTTTTTTTTTTGATTGATGAAAGATGGGAGGGTGGTTGGTGCGTCCGTTTTTATTGAAGAGAGTAAAGCAGAAGAGGAAAGAGAATGGCGGATGAGTGTTACAATGGGAGATTTGAACTCCTTGGGAATAAAAACAGCCGACAATGACGGAATGGATTGTTGTAAACTTGATGTTTATATTCGAAAGTTCAAAGAAGGTATTGTGGAGGAAAATGTCGTATTTAAAAAGTGGTTGTATATTCAGGAGTCTGATTTGAAAAATTTGCTGCGTGGATTAATAAATGATGATTGACCATTTGCAAAGTCAAATCATTGGTAAGAATTGATGCTTTTGATAATTAATAGTGTATTTGATATTATTCAAGATTAAAAACAATTGTTTTAAGAAGCTCTCATGTGAATTCCATCTACTTTCAGGCAATAAGGTAAAATGATGTGTATCTTATGATACGATGTTTTTAAAAACTTAATAAGGAAGTTGAGGTGGCCGAGTGGTTAAGGCGCCAGCCTGCTAAGTTGGTGGAGTAATCCGCGTGGGTTCGAATCCCATCCTCAACGTTTTGCTTGATTAATATTTTTTTATCAAACAAAGATTTTTATTGAGGACAATTGTCCTCCCAAAAAACAGAGCTGTCCATGACCCTTAATATTTTTTCCGATTGGGAGCTTGACATGATCTTATTCACGGAGTGCAATTGGTGAACATGTTCCTCACCTGGTCCTTCCTTTGAGTTGCTCCAAAGATGAGTTTAATACAAAATTAATATTTATTACAATGATAAAAATAGTGATGAATAGCTTGTTGGTTCGCTCTCAACAGATCCATTTCCTCATTCTGACAATGCTTCTTGTCTTTCCAATAAATTTTTGATTGTGCATTCAATGAATTGAAAGTTCACAATCTGGTTATAACTCAACCTTGTTGTTTGTTCAATAATAAAGAGGAGTGGATTCTGTTGTATATACTGCATTTTACAACCACAATTATATTAGATTCCAAACTGATTACACTCTCCCATGTCTCACCGATAGGAGTAATGAAACCAAGTATCCATTCATTTAGATATTAGGAGATTAAGGTGAAACAGTCTCCCAACTACAGTTATGAGAATGCCCAAAGACAAAGTTCTTTTAGGAGATGATTGGATTAAATGTTTAAATGTGATCCAGGAGTTCTGAGGCAAAAAGGAAAAGTTTAATCTCCGTTGATGCAACCAGATTTGAATATTCACTCTTGTTTCATTACATTTTTAAAATCATTCTAATTGGTATGAAATGTTATTGTTTCGATTGAATGTATTGTTATTAATCTTGTTGAAGTGTTTCTTTTTAAAATTGAATCCAAAATGTGTTAATTCACGACAGAGTGGAATACTGCTATTTTTAAAGTTGTGATAAATGATTGGTTGTCAATGAGGATCAGCCGACTCCGTGATCAAATTGTATATCAAATAACGACATTAATTTCAAGTCAATTTGTTTACCACATGAAGCATACCCAAAAATACAATATTCAATCTAGATAACAATTTTATTGGTGTTGCATTTTCTTTTAAGTGGCTTCCTGCTGTTACTTGGAAGCTGCACTGAACGCTAAAAAGAACCAATTGTAAACTCGTCAAAAAACTCCTATCAACTTCCGGTCCGTTGCGTCTTCTAGAAGCTTTAAAAACACAGCCAACCGCAATTCCTCAACAAACAGATTAAAAAAAAATGAAATCAGTCTTTATTGCTGCTTTGTTGTTGGTTCTTGCCACTGCTGCATTTGCCTTCGACTCTGAATTCTTGGCTCAACCAGTCCATGATAACACCCTCATTAACAAGATTAACACTACCCCAAGAGTTGCTTGGAAGGCTGGTTCCTACAAGCAATTTGAAAACATGACCTTGGGTCAATTCAGAAAGGTATGTTTATATTGTTTTAACTCGTGGTGCCAACAATATTTTATTATTTTAATTTGTTATTAATTTTTTTCGCTACTTGCTCTCTCACTTCATGATGAACCACCACAACAAACACAAACAAAATAATAATAACAATTCCACTCTACTCTAATGATATAGATGCTCGGTGCTGTCCTCATTCAAAAGGGTACTGCTGAAATGATCAAGAAGAAGACTGCTACTGGTGCTGTTGCTGCTGTCCCAGCTTTCGATTCTAGAACTAAATGGCCACACTGTGTTCACCCAATCAGAAATCAAGAACAATGCGGTTCTTGTTGGGCTTGTAAGTATTTAATTGTTGTGAAATTTTGTGATATATATTTCATTAATAGTCTCTGCTTCTGAAGTCTTGTCTGACAGATTCTGTATTGCTTCTGGCGGTAAGGTTGATGTTGTCTTGTCTCCTCAATACATGGTTTCTTGTGACTCTACTGATTATGGTTGTGATGGTGGTTATTTGAACAATGCTTGGGCTTTCCTTGCTGGTACTGGTATTCCATCTGATAAGTGTGCTCCATATACCTCTCAAAATGGTGATGTTGCTGCTTGTCCAAGCAAGTGTCAAGATGGTTCATCTGTCAAGCTCTACAAGGCTAAGAACCCACAACAATTGAACGATATCCCATCCATCATGGAAGATATGCAACAAAATGGTCCAGTTCAAGCTGCTTTCTCTGTTTATAGAGATTTCATGTCCTACAAGTCTGGTGTTTATCATCACGTCTCTGGTTCCCTCTTGGGTGGTCACGCCATCAAGATGGTCGGTTGGGGTGTTGACTCTGCTACTAACAAGCCATATTGGATTATTGCTAACTCATGGGGCCCATCTTGGGGTTTGAACGGATTCTTCTGGATCTTGAGAGGTTCTGATGAATGCGGTATTGAGGACAATGTCTGGTCTGGTCAAGCTCAACTCTAAATATCTCAATATTTGAGTTTGTTGACAATAAATGTACCATTATTCACAAAATATTCAAATTTTATTATAATCGGAAATGATAATTTAAAAAGTATTAATTATTAATTAAGATTAATAAGAGATCATATCGAATTGAAAATATTTAAGAATGAATTTATTAAATAACTAAAGCCTTGAAATAGATTTCTCCCATGTGCCATTGGAAAGAGCTCCATCTTGTAGATGCAATTTGAAATGCGATGGAATGCGATGATTGGTTGGTATTGACAATTCTACAAGAGAGACTTAATGTTTGTGTAGATGAAACAATGAATTTAATTAATGTTTTTAAATATTAACTATCTATCATTTATTAAAAGTGGAAGTGATATGAGTATGATGATTCTTACAAGTCAGAAAATGATCTGATTGAATCTGAAAGAGAAATTCCCAAATTGAATGTTAGTGAAATAATTGAAAAATCTTCTCAGCCCTGTTTCATTTGATGGGTAAGAAATTCCAAGCTTGTAGGTTGACGAAGAATTATTGTTTAAATTGGACCTAAGTGAATATTTCATAAAAGAATTTGATCATTTTTATTTTATTTGAATGTTGGTCAACCAACTTGTTATCAAGGTTAGCGATTTTCATTGTAAAATTCGAAATTGATCTAAATTGTTAAAAAAAAAATGGATGAACAGAGGGATCATCCTGTTATTGGATTAATTCAATTTTTACCTCTCGAAGTTTGGTATGAACATATTCTTACATACTTTCCATCGAATTTACTTTTATCCACTCGATTGGTCAACCGAAACTTTTCGAATATCATCCTTTCATATTTTATCAAACTAAAAAAGGAGTTTAATTATTCTACCTTTCGTCTTTCTAAAAAACAATTGAAGTATTCACTCAATTTTCTATCTAGATTTGAAAATTTACAAAGTTTCTGTTTTGAAAATCCCATTATGATAATTAATGATAAAAATGATGAACAAGCAATGAATAGTTTACTTTCGGATTTGGTTTTTCTTGAACATTTACAAGAAATTGATTTAACAAGTTGTAATCATGATGGACAATTTATTGAAAAGTTGCTGGAAAGAAATAATTCCAATAGAATGATTGAGAATTTAACAAGTTTATCTATGAATGTTGTTGAAAGTGAACATTTCACACTCATTTTGGAACATTTCATCAATTTGAAGAGTTTGAAAATAGAAAATTTTGAATATTCTTCATTTAATAATTCAATAGCTATTAAGTTGAATGATAAATTGGAAGAATTATTTATTCATTCAGGTATTACAGCCGAACATTTAAATCAAATTATGAAACAAGGAAGAAATTTGAAAAAATTATTGATTAAAATGTCAGCAATAGAAATGGAATATCTTGATGACTTGTCAGCATTTGAAAATTTGACAAGTTTAACAATTGAAACCAACTGTGATGTTTCCTATGTTGATATTGATCAAATTAATTCTGAACCTGAATTTCATGCCAACTATTTCAGTTCATTGAAAAATCTTAGAAATTTGACAGAATTGGAACTTCCTTGGACAATTTCAAATGAAAATTCAGATTCAGTCAGAGAATTCTGCCATTTGTCTCAATTATCATCTCTAAAAACTCTTTATTTAACAATATTGCAGGGAAATGATAATCAAATTGAAATGGAAAAGACTTTGGAAAAAATTATTGTAACTATTAGTCATTTATATAATTTAACAGATCTTTCTCTTGATTTCTTGGAAATATTTACAGATTTTGAAGAGATTGATCAAAATGTACTTGATAATATTCCTCAATTGACCAAACTTGAAAAATTTACCTTTGTAGGAATACCCTATCAAGATGGAACACATGTAAAGAATCTGTGTGATTATTATTGTGTTCCAACTTTGAAATATTTGTCCGTTTCCATAAAAGATGGAATAATTCCAAGTAGAAATGACTTGAAAAGTGTTGAAAGCATTGAAATGGTTATTGAGGAGGAAAATGATGTTTATTATCAATTATTTAACAAGACAAATCTTTCAAATATTACATCATTGGAAATTGGTTTGGTTAAATTGAAAGATTTGGAATTAATTTCACAAATGACAAATCTCAAAGACTTGTCAATGAAACTTGGAAACATTTCATCTTTTAAAAGTGTGAAATTTCCCAAATCATTACAAAGTTTAGTACTTGAGGATTGTAATTTCCTGACTGGTATGGAGAATGAACACTTTTTTGACAGCTTTGGATCTTGTCCATTCTTGGAAATTATTAATTTTACAAAATGTCCACTTTTACAAGATTCATTTGTGAGAAAGCTCAGTAAATGGATTGAAAATAGCTTGGATTGTAAACAGATTATGTTTAACCAATGTGATGGTTTGACTAATGATTCAGTTTTCTATTTCAAAGATTTGAAAAATTGCAAATACGTACATTTTTATGAATGTAGAGAATTATACTTTACAATGGAGATTTCAAATCTTTTGATGCGTAATACTTTTATAGAAGTAGAAACAGCATGTATTGTACCAAAAAGATTCTTTGATAGGCTAAACAATACCGAATCGTATATCATTCATGAAGAAGAAATTGTAAATTCTCTAGAAAATTTCGAAAATATGATTCGAAAATTATTGGAATTAAGGCAATTTCAAAAGGCATCTCTTTACTTGCAAGCAAACATGTTTGAGAATTGTAGTGAAGAATCAGGAAATCACAAGAAATTACATCAGTTGCTTCAAGATAAGTCTACATTATTCGAAACCAAATGGTTTTTCTATTATTCCTTTTTAAAGTGTCATGTTGAAAACATCACTTTTACAACCTATGCAGATGTTGAATTTATATATAATCAAGCAATTGAATTAATTTTCACCCAAACTAACCAAAATGAAGAATTTATTGAAGATTTAAAGATTTTACTTGTTGAACTGTTTGAGACAGGTAAAGAGTTTGAATGTATGATGAATAACAAGTCATTGGAATATATTACAACATATCTGTATGAAAAAAGAGATTTTGACAAGTTATTGAAATGTGCTTTAACAGAAGAAAGTGCATTAGAGTTGGTTAATCAAATAACAGAGAAAGATTGCTTCCAATTGACCAGTTTGAACAACTTGTTGGAGTTAAATGAGGATTTTCTTGATAATATCATTGAAAAGAGGTCACTTTTCAAAAATTCTCCTTCATTTACTGAAAAGATGAGGGACAGAGGAATTGAAATGGATGAAAATGATTCAGAACTATTGGAAATCAATCAAAGAGTTCCTGAAAGATTCAGGAATTCTTATTTGACAGAATTGACTGTCACCATGAGTGAAAAGAACGATTTTACAGATGGGGAATCAGAAGCATTTAATGCATTTGGTTTCAGATGGAATTTAAAAGTTCAGGAAGAAGGTGATCGGTTATTGATTGATATTAACTTACTCTCCTGTATTCCCCTCAATAGGAAATTTGATTCTTATGAAAATATTAATGGAAATGATGGAGATTCTATTGAAATTTCATTCATGTTACTGAATTATGATAATAATCCTTATTCTTACATGAGTGGAAGAAAAATATTCGATCAATCTTCAATGCAACATACCTTTGAAATTTCCACTACTTTGATTGAGGAGTTCTCTGAAAATAATTTCAAATTTCTAATTGGATTGGGCTTGATATCGATTAAGGAGAGAATAACATGTCCATTCACATCCACTCAATTTGTAATTCATAATTTGTCATTTGACATTGCTTCTGATTTGAAGGATTGCTATTTGGATGAAATTATTCTTTATTCGGCTCCAATTACGATATTTGGAACTAATTGGAATGTGAAATTCGTACAGAAATTAGAAAGTGGAATAATTGAACTTTATTTAATGTTGGCCTCACTTGATCTATTTGATGACAAGGCAGCCATTCATGCTTGTTGTGTGGAATTTTATTTTGCCAATAAGAATCTTCATCCAGATTCCACTTTTGGTATGAAAAGAAGTTTCAATTCTCAGAATACACCTTATGGTGGTCCAATTGAGCATCAAGAATTATTAAAACCTGAAAAGAGAGTAAATCTCAATGGTGAATTGGTTGATAGATATGAAATTTCGCTCATTATGAATGTTAAGAGTATTAGTAAGAAACACTATTCGAAATTATACTAAACAAAACTCTTCCATTAGAAACATATAATACTCAATTTATAATAAACGACGTTTAGTTGCCAATAGTTCAGCATCATCTTCATCTCCCTTAACAATGATCAAAATCAATGCACTAACAATTGAAGCAATTCCACACAAAATATTCAAAATACTTGCAACTAAGAGACAAATAATTGATGAAGCAACTGGTAAGTGAAGAAAATTAACACTTCTAATTCCATAAATTATAGAAAAGGATGCATCCAAATTCATTCCAAAACAAATAGAAGCAGCAATCAATAACGCAACCTTAAAGCCAAGAATGACATTTGGTGGAATGACACATGAAGGTTCACTTGACATGCACTTGCTCATGTCCTTTTGTAATACATTAGACATGGTGATCAAGTTTAAAATGGCCACAACCATCTGTAAGAATGAACACAAGCTCAGTGAAATATAACTTTCGAATGGAGAAATTGGCATTTTACTTCCGGCTACATCTGTAAAGTAAAGAATGAGTGCAACCAAATTGAATACCACCAATAGCATGGATGGAATTGCAACGAGGGAGGAGAAGAGTTTAGGAAGAAGAGGTGTGGACATTGTGTGAAATGATTCGTTTTTTTTTGCTTTAGAATAGCTCAAAATTTATCCTTTTATTTCGTCTTATGAAATTAGAATTGAATTGGATTCTAATACGGAGTGAATTTGGCTAAGACCAACAATGTGGAAATTATCTGCTCTAATTATTTTGATATTAACTTTATTTCAGTCTTCTGACTCAACAATTTAAAACCACACAAATAAGACCAATATCATTAATATTGTTGAAACTCTTAAAATGCTCAACTTGTTAGCATCTGAAGTTACTATTGAACTTTTTGGTTGAATTGTTGAGCTTGTTGGAATCATTGATATTTGTGCTGAAGGTGCTGTTGGTTGCTTACAAGTATCAAGTGGTGGCAGTGAAGGAATGGCAACAGTAGGAATAGAAAACGATGTCTGTACAGCTGTGAAAGTATTTACAAAAAATGTGTAAGGATCCTGATCATTTGGTATTGTAAATGGGAAAACAACTTGTAAAACTGGAGATGATGGAACAAATGTGGAATTGTAGGTAATATTCACATTAAGGGGTGTCCAAATGACAGTAACAGAATTGGCTGATTGAACCCATGTTGAACTTTGCTCTGAAAAGAATGCAGTACCAAATCCATTCATTGATGTACCATTGTACAGACCCTTACTATGTAACCAATGACCTGGTACACTTGGAGATGTAATTAGACTTTGAGTTTTTGCAGAATTCCATGAAGAATCTCCAATATGTGCCTCTCCATTAGTTGTAATACTTTGAACAAGAATACTCTGACCGTCAGTTCTCAAATTTTGAATACTCAATATTTTAACTACCACGAGTGGTATTCCAGGAGCGTAGGAAACTACATTCACTTGTAACATGACAACGAGACCACGTGAGGAAATTCTCTGTTGAATGAGTACTGCGGCACTTGTTTCTGATATGCTGGCCTTTAATACAGAGCTAGTGGTATCAGGAGCATTCCATGAGGTGCTACTTTCACTGGATAGCATTGTACCTGTTGTTATTCTCAAAGTAGCAAGTCTTGAACCTTTCCACGACAGTCTCACAATGGAGCCATCAATTTTAACAGAACCAAAGTCATAAGCAAGCCCATCAGGAATCGATCCAGCTAAATTTTGAGCAGTGACATTACCAGTTGGTGATGAAAGTGGTTGAGTTTGATATATTGTGCTATTCAAACCTGCACTATGACGAGCACAAACATTGAAATTCATTGAAATGGCTGCTTGAACCATGAGTGGGTAAGGATCATCATTCACATTCAGTAAACCATAATTGGAATTCTCAGGGAAAGTGGTACTAATACCAAGAGCTGGCTCATCAACATACATGAAATAGGAATTACCAACAATTAATGGATGAGATTGTAAAAAAGTATTAAAGTAGGAATAACATTTGGCACGTTGAGCTTGATTATCAACTCTCATTCCAGCTCCATGAGTGGATGGTAAGCCAGCATCCAGAGCAGGGAACGACCACTCTGTAATGATTAGAGGACGATTATAATTTCCTACCCATTGTTGTGGAGTTTGTTGAACTTGTTTTGGAATTCCCAAATTGACCTCAATAGAAGGATACCAATTGTATGTAATGACATCACAATATTTGGCTGCAATATCTACAATGTCAGGCGCTTGTCCTGGAAAACGATTACACAAATAGACATGATTTGGATCAACTTTTTTGAGTGCTTGTGAAACTGTACTGAAATAAATCTCTGCAACATTTCTAACAAATTGACGTGAGACACTGATGGCCTTCTCACTCATTGGTATGGCAGGAGAGGTATTGTTAACAAGTGTTGCGAATGAATTAATTCCTGAAATACCCCATCCATTCATAAACTCTGTTTCCAAATTGACCAAACCAAAAGTATCAATAATGAGATTTGCCCAAGCAATCTTGGCAGTGTGATTTGACTCCTTAAGCCAAGCCTGATTAAACAAACAATAGTCCTTACTGGAACAACCACTATCTCCCCACCATTGAATTTCATTATCTACAAAGTGTCCAATAACCCACGGATCATCTCTATATTGTAAATAATCTGAAAAGGTAAAATAGAGAAAATCAGTCCATTGTGGATGGAAAACATTTGGAAATCCAGTCCAAGTGGTCTTTGGTGTAATGTCACTAATCTTGCCTGAAAATTCATTGGTTGTGTGAGTGATTGTGTGAGCTAGTCCCTTATATCTCAAATAGGTTGACACATCAGTTCCAAGAGTATTGAATCCCCATGATAGTAATCTCTGAGCTTGTGCATTGGCCCAATTAGATTCATTTCCATATTTAATAGAAACATTGCAAAACCTCCCAAAGCTTCAGTAGCAAATTCATAATAATTAACATGGTCAACTGCAACAAAATAGAATGGATTACCAACAGGATCAATGAACCACCACTTCCCTGTTGTAATATCTTGCTCGACACGGAAAAATCCAGTGGCTTTACGTGGACACATTGAAGTACAACTCAAAGATGGATTCCATGCAGGAAATTGTCGAGTAATTGTCATATTCACAGGTACTGTCCACGATGAGGTAACATTACTATAGACAACATTAAGAAAACCAGTGTGAAAAGCACCTCTTCCTGTAAGTACTGCTTGTGGATTTGTGATACACCAACCAAGTGAGCTAACTACACTTCCATTGGAGGCAAAAGCCCATTTTGCTTGAACTTTAGCAATACAACTGATATTGTTGCTAGGATGATATCCACCAATGGACATGGAAATAGTTGCAGTATAATCTACACCATATTGCCAATTATAGGAACTTCCACTTGAAGGAAGTGAAATTGCATCCTGAGATGAAGAAAGCCAAACGCCATTCTTCATTTCACCCAACTCTACAAAGTGACTTGAGCCAGATTGTAATGGAGATTCAACAAGATGAGTAGCCCAATAATTACTCGAATCCTTATAAATAGCAACACCTCCAGTCAACCACACAGTATTAGTAACTTGTGAAATACGGGACAATATTCTAACATTGGTAGAGAAGGTTGTATCATTGGCCAAACTAGCTGCCACATGCTGAACAGTGAGAGAACCATAACCATTATCAATCCAGAATTTACCCTCTGAAATGAATGAACCATACGAAGAAGCCAACCAATTCGGAGCTCCAAAAGCACCATTAATATAAGCAGCAGATGAGAAATTGTCGGTTACTGTTGTGGCTGTTATTGTTGTTGTTGTCGTTGTGGTGTGGATTGTGAAAATAAGCAACAGCAACAGCATCAACAATTGTCCGCAAAGTTTGTTCATTTTTTTTAATGATTCGAACTCATCTTTGAAAACATTGTAATCGGCAATCATCTTTCATTTTCAATGTGAGATCTTGTCTTGGATTTCATTCTTCTTAATTTTTTACATTTTACATTTTTTTTACATTTTTATGTTTTTTGAAAAAGAGTTTTTTTAAATTACAAAAAAAATGCAATACGAAGATGACGATCCCATGAGTGAAGCCTTATCACTCAATGATCCTTCTTCCGAAGTAGAGTATGATTTGGGATCGATGCCTTTGGAAGAATTAATTGAACTATATGAAAAGATGGAGAATGATCGGATTGACTTGGAAAAATTAAATGAAATTGTTTATGAAATTTGTGATGTGTACATGGTAGAAAATAATGAAGAGAAAGTCTTTGAATGGAAACTCAAGGCAGCAGAGAAGGGAATTGTAGATGCTCAAGCAAGTGTTGCAGAAATGTATGATGAAGGGCGTGGAGTTTCGGCCAATTATGAAAAGGCATTGTATTGGTTGATTAAAGCAGCTGAGGGAGGTGATTTGGAATCACAAATACTTCTTGGTTGGTATTATGAAAAAGGAAAAGGAATGGATCAACCAAATAATGAAATGTCATTTAAATGGTATAAGCAAGCTGCTGATTTTGGGGTTGTTGATGCCATTCATAGATGTGGTTACTCACTATTGAAGATTGGAGATGCTCAAGGTGCCATGTCATGGTTTATAAAGGGATTGGAGTGTAGGGATGGACCATCAATGGTTGAGCTTGCAGAAATGTATAGAAGTGGTGAAGGAGTAGTTAAAGATATGAAGAAGTCGTTCGAATATTACGAAATGGCAGCCAAAGTTGAGTGTAGACGAGGTCTTATGGGTGTTGGAACGGCCTATCAATTTGGATTTGGTGTTGGAGTGAATTTTGAAAAGGCAAGGCATTATTTTGAATTGGGTGCTTTACAGAACTGCCCCGGCTCAATGAATAATCTTGCGGATATGTATTGGAAAGGCGAGGGAGTCGAACGAAATTTCCAAAAAGCCCTTGAATGGGTTAAAAAATCTATTGAACTCGGTAGTTATGATGGAATTGCAACATATGGAGAAATGATTTTGGCTGGTGATGGTGTAGAACAAGATTACAATAAGGCATTTGAAAATTTCAAAATTGCATCAGAAAACAACTGTTCCTTTGCACATGCCCTTCTTGGAAGAATGTATGAAAATGGTTGGGGATGTGAAAAGGATATTTCCAAAGCTTTTCTATTATATCTGAAAGGAGCAAAAGAATATGATGAGGCAGCAGTCGAGAGATTGGAATCAACATTTAAGACTTCCTTGTATAAAAAGTCATTTCATCTTTGTGATGTGGTGATTACAACTGAACCATAATTAAATTCTAAATTTAATTTCAATATTAGTATGAAATTATTGGCCTTATTTAAGGTTGGTTGAGCTAACATCTGAAAAGTAGAGAACAAGAGCCACCCAATTGAAAACCAAAAGCAAAGCTTCAGATGGGAATGTAACGATCTTAAATATTAATTTTAAATAGTGTGAGTGTCATCATTTAGATGACCAAGTTAGTTTCGATTTATTAAGAATTTTTTCCAATCCTTAATAGAGATGATGTACAAAATTACTGTTGGAGTTTTTCTAACAATTCAGCAGTTGTTTGTTGTGGTTGAGGTGTCGTGGTATTGGAAGTGAGTGGCTCAAAAGAAATTCTCACAATTCCATATTTCATTAAGGTATCCTCTCCCATCATGTCAATTGAGGTTGATGATGAGGAAGAAGAGAAAGTACTCGAAACTCCATGAGTTGTCCTATTGGTTTTCAATTCACAAGATTCATTTTTCTTTTGATTGACAGGTGGTTTGGCTGAAGATGGAGTTCTTTTAAATGATTTCATTGAACACAATTCATTATTAGCTAAAGATGAGAGTGATTTGTTTGAATTTTGATTGTTGGACTGAGTTTGATCCAATACATCATTTGAATAATCCTCAAAGAAGGCATCAAATGATGAAGAGCTTTGATGCATTGAATTATTTGGTTCAAGCATTTTCTTTTCTCCTAATTCACTTGTGCTCGTTTCAGATTTGAGTTCTTCCTTCATTGATGTTTGTTTTGGTGAATTATTTGCAGTAACTCTTGGTGAAGATTGAGAGGTTGGTGAAATAGTTTTAGGTTCTGAAAGCAACATGTTGAGTGTTCTCGATGATGGTATTCTCAAATTAAATTCAGAATAGTCAATATCCTCTGATTGACTTGTTGAGCTAGTACCACTTGGTTGAGTAGTAGGCAAAGCTCCTGTTGTTGATGACGTTCTTTTACAATCCAAATCACCCGAAGATCTTCTCTTCTTTGAGAAGAAATCAAATCGTGGAGAGGTTGATGACTTTTTCTTTTCCTCCTTATTTTCTTTCAGAGCCAATTCATCCAAACAACTAGAAACCGAAGAACTTCTCTTATATTTGGAAAATAACTTTCTCGATGTTCTTTTCGATGTGTTATTATTATTATTATTATTTTGATCTTGATGATGATTTGTATGATTACTATTTGTTGAATTGGCATCATCCATAGAACTAGTTGATTTTCTATTATTTCCATCTCCGTCTAATGATATTCTGCTAGCAGAATTATTTCCTTGTTGTTGTTGTGGTTGTTGTTTTCTTGATATATTTGCTCTGATTTTCTCAGTATCCCATACAAAAAAGTGTTCTTCTTCTTCGACAATCATTGTGGCATCTTCTATGATCATCATATCATCCTCTCCACCACTTGAATAGTGTAGTGAAGAGGAGGAAGAGTTACGTCTTCCTCGTGGTGTATTAGAACTGGAGTGGCATCTCCTCTGTTGATGCTTTTGATTTGTTTTTGTAATAGTTGTTGTATGATTCTCTTCATGATAATGTCGTGGCGAGAGTTTCTTCTTGATGGCACCAAAGAGTTTGACAATTTGCATTTTGTTTTTCTTATTATTGCTGTTGGGAGGTGGTGATGGTGATGAGGATGATTGTTGTTGTTGTTGTAGGTGATGATAATTGTTTCT